GTAGGACACCAACATGTATAAATTGTAAGTGTAGGCCACCAACATGTATAAATTGTAAGTGTAAGACACCAACATGTATAAATTGTAAGTGTAGGCCACAAATATGTATAAATTGTAAGCGTAGGCCACCAACATGTATAAATTATAAGCGTAGGCCACAAACATGTATAAATTGTAAGTGTAGGCCACCAACATGTATAAATTGTAAGTGTAGGCCACCAACATGTATAAATTGTAAGTGTAGGCCACCAACATGTATAAATTGTAAGTGTAGGCCACCAACATGCATAAATTGTAAGTTTAGGCCACCAACATGTATAAATTGTAAGTGTAGGCCACCAACATGTATAAATTGTAAGTGTAGGCCACCAACATGTATAAATTGTAAGTGTAAGACATAACATCAGACAGAGATATCTGTGCTCTACAGGTGGTCTGTATATTTACAGCCAGCCAATCAAATGTATCCATCCTGAGGGGCAACTTAATGCTAGAAATGTGGTCAATTCATGTTCTGTTTAACACACACATGTGGTTTGTTGATATCATCATGTGTGCATGTGGCTATGTGTGCATGTATGTACATATACATACTATTATATCAACTAAACATGCACCATACACAAAATACAACAGCTAAATGTAATGGAGCAAGCTTGCCCAGTTTATGACCCTTTACAAATAAAGTTGATTTGTTCTCTAAGTTTAAAAATATTTAACCAATGCTAACAACCCTCTCTTTATTTAGAAACATGTGATCAACTTAAGCAACTCTTAGTTTAGAAACATGTGGTCAACTTGATAAACTCTCTTAATTTAGAAATATGTGAACTTAAGCAACTCTTAGTTTAGAAATATGTGGTCAACTTAAGCAACTCTTTGTTTATAAATATGCAGTCAATTTGAGCAGCTTTCTTTTAGTGCATTTCGATGCCTTTTGTTAATTAGTATAAAATCAATTTGATTGTGATTGATCAGATATGACTGAGCTACGATATAACAGTAGCCAGTACCACCTGTCTTCTGTTACGCCGAATGTCGGGCGACTTATACCAAACCTAACATCCCATATTGTGCTAATGGCTTCGGGGCGAAGGAGCGCATTGGGGAGGATACTAGCCTTATCCTAGGAAGAGGAAATGCAACCTGAAAACTTTATGATATGGCAGGGCAGATCAGGCCCCTAGCCTTGGTTATCAGCTGGTCTAGGAGAGAAGCTCCAACAGGCGCAGATCCCTGCTCTTCTGATAGGGCAGCTTCTGCAGCCTGCTTTGTTCCAAACATACTGGTTTTACCTTTCCTTTGGAATACACAAGGCAAGTGGAGGGAGGGATCGTGATGCATGGGCAACATATGGTCTCTACAATACTGCCCAGGCTTTGTGCTATGGAGAGGAGGAACTTCATCCCTGGCGTAATTTATCGCCATGGGCTGTGAGTCCTATGCCTCCTCATAGCGCAACACTATCGTCTGGAAAGACGTAAAGGTGCCAATCAATCATTTAGTGTAAAAATATGTGGTCAACTTGAGCAATTTAGTTCAGAAATATGTGGTCACTTTGAGCAACTCTCTGAGTTTAAAAATATGTGGTCAACTTAAGCAATTCTTTGTTAGTTTAGAAACATGTGGTTAACTTGAGCAACATCCAGTCTAGAAATATGTGGTTAATATGAGCAACTCTCTCACCTAGTTAAAAACTATGTGGTCAACTTGAGTAACTCTTAGTTTAAAATATATGGTCACCCTAAGCAACTTTTAGTTATAAAACAGTTGTGGTTAACATAAGCAATTCTCTCTTAGTTTAGTGCAGTCAACTTCAGAAATGGAATCACTACATTGAAAATATATCTAACTTTCCCTAAACATATAAATAAGCCTGAAAAGAAGAAAGAATCATCTAAAAATGGTACAAGGAATGTAAACATTTCTTCATGATATAAGAGATGCACTTTGAGTGATTTGAGAAATAAGATACTAGTGATGTGAGAAATGTGATAATTGTGACAATAAGAAATTAATAATAAGACAGTGATATGAGAGATGCGATATGTTAGTGTTAAGATAGATATTAGTGATATGAGATAGTTATCAGTGAGTTTAGTAATATAAATTTTATAGTAATATGTGAAATGAGATTTAGTGATATGAAATATGTGATATTAGTGATATCAGTGAGCTTATTAATAGAAATTTTTAGCAATATGTGAAATGAGATTTGGCGATATGATAATGTCTAGTAAGTGTCCTGTTAGGGGGAGTACACATGTGACAGCGTCCAACCAAGGGAGATGATGTTAGTGGGGTAGACATGTGACAGTGTCCAACCAGAGATTATGATGTTAGTGGGGTACACATGTGACAGTGTCCAACCAGAGATTATGATGTTAGTGGGGTATACATGTGACAGTGTCCAACCAGGGGAGATGATGTTAGTGGGGTACACATGTGACAGTGTCCAACCAGAGATTATGATGTTAGTGGGGTATACATGTGACAGTGTCCAACCAGAGGAGATGATGTTAGTGGGGTACACATGTGACAGTGTCCAACCAGGGGAGATGATGTTAGTGGGGTTCACATGTGACAGTGTCCAACCAGAGGAGATGATGTTAGTGGGGTACACATGTGACAGTGTCCAACCAGGGGAGATGATGTTAGTGGGGTACATATGTGACAGTGTCCAACCAGAGGAGATGATGTTAGTGGGGTACACATGTGACAGTGTCCAACCAGGGGAGATGATGTTAGTGGGGTACACATGTGACAGTGTCCAACCAGGGGAGATGATGTTAGTGGGGTACACATGTGACAGTGTCCAACCAGGGGAGATGATGTTAGTGGGGTACACATGTGACAGTGTCCAACCAGGGGAGATGATGTTAGTGGGGTACATACGTGACAGTGTCCAACCAGGGGAGATGATGTTAGTGGGGTACACATGTGACAGTGTCCAACCAAGGGAGATGATGTTAGTGGGGTACACATGTGACAGTGTCCAACCAGGGGAGATGATGTTAGTGGGGTACACATGTGACAGTGTCCAACCAGGGGAGATGATGTTAGTGGGGTACACATGTGACAGTGTCCAACCAAGGGAGATTATGTTAGTGGGGTACACATGTGACAGTGTCCAACCAAGGGAGATTATGTTAGTGGGGTACACATGTGACAGTGTCCAACCAGAGGAGATGATGTTAGTTGGGTACACATGTGACAGTGTCCAACCAGGGGAGATGATGTTAGTGGGGTACACATGTGACAGTGTCCAACCAGAGGAGATGATGTTAGTGGGGTACACATGTGACAGTGTCCAACCAGGGGAGATGATGTTAGTGGGGTACACATGTGACAGTGTCCAACCAGGGAAGATGATGTTAGTGGGGTACACATGTGACAGTGTCCAACCAGAGGAGATGATGTTAGTGGGGTACACATGTGACAGTGTCCAACCAGAGGAGATGATGTTAGTGGGGTACACATGTGACAGTGTCCAACCAGAGGAGATGATGTTAGTGGGGTACACATGTGACAGTGTCCAACCAGAGGAGATGATGTTAGTGGGGTACACATGTGACAGTGTCCAACCAGAGGAGATGATGTTAGTTGGGTACACATGTGACAGTGTCCAACCAGGGGAGATGATGTTAGTGGGGTACACATGTGACAGTGTCCAACCAAGGGAGATGATGTTAGTGGGGTACACATGTGACAGTGTCCAACCAGAGGAGATGATGTTAGTGGGGTACACATGTGACAGTGTCCAACCAGGGGAGATGATGTTAGTGGGGTACACATGTGACAGTGTCCAACCAGAGGAGATGATGTTAGTGGGGTACACATGTGACAGCGTCCAACCAAGGGAGATAATGTTAGTGGGGTACACATGTGACAGCATCCAACCAGGGGAGATGATGTTAGTGGGGTACACATGTGACAGTGTCCAACCAGAGGAGATGATGTTAGTGTGGTACACATGTGACAGTGTCCAACCAGAGGAGATGATGTTAGTGGGGTACACATGTGACAGTGTCCAACCAAGGGGAGATGATGTTAGTGGGGTACACATGTGACAGTGTCCAACCAAGGGAGATGATGTTAGTGGGGTACACATGTGACAGTGTCCAACCAGAGGAGATGATGTTAGTGGGGTACACATGTGACAGTGTCCAACCAGGGGAGATGATGTTAGTGGGGTACACATGTGACAGTGTCCAACCAGAGGAGATGATGTTAGTGGGGTACACATGTGACAGTGTCCAACCAGAGGAGATGTTAGTGGGGTACACATGTGACAGTGTCCTACCAGGGAAGATGATGTTAGTGGGGTACACATGTGACAGTGTCCAACCAGAGGAGATGATGTTAGTGGGGTACACATGTGACAGTGTCCAACCAGAAGAGATGTTAGTGGGGTACACATGTGACAGTGTCCTACCAGAGATTATGATGTTAGTGGGGTACACATGTAACTGTGTCCTACCAGAGATTATGATGTTAGTGGGGTACACATGTGACTGTGTCGAACCAGAGATTATGATGTTAGTGGGGTACACATGTGACAGTGTCCAACCAGAGATTATGATGTTAGTGGGGTACACATGTGACAGTGTCCAACCAGAGATTATGATGTTAGTGGGGTACACATGTGACCGTGTCGAACCAGAGATTATGATGTTAGTGGGGTACACATGTGACAGTGTCCAACCAGAGATTATGATGTTAGTGGGGTACACATGTGACCGTGTCGAACCAGAGATTATGATGTTAGTGGGGTACACATGTGACAGTGTCCAACCAGAGATTATGATGTTAGTGGGGTACACATGTAACTGTGTCCAACCAAAGATTATGATGTTAGTGGGGTACACATGTGACAGTGTCCAACCAGAGATTATGATGTTAGTGGGGTACACATGTGACCGTGTCGAACCAGAGATTATGATGTTAGTGGGGTACACATGTGACAGTGTCGAACCAAGGAAGGTGAAACAGTCAGTTACCTTGGTGTGGCTTTAGAACTGGTGAAATCTGCCTGGCCACAGTTGAGTTTGGCATATTCTGCATGTAAAGACTTGTAGCCCCACAGTGTTTTCAGCAACTGAAAAATCCAAACATGGGGTACAACCACTGAATGAAACATCCACACATGGAGTACAATCACTGATTGAAACATCCAAACATGGGGTACAATCACTGATTGAAACATCCAAACATGAGGTACAATGATGGACTGAAACATATGGAGTACAATCACTGACTGAAACATCCAATTATAAATTGAAACATCCAAACATGGGATACAATCACTGACTGAAACATCCAAACATAGGGTACAATCAGTGACTGAAACACCCAAACATGGGGTACAATCACTAAATGAAACATCCAAACATGGGGTACAATCACTGATTGAAACATCGTAACATGGGGTACATTAACCGATTGAAACATCCAAACATAGGGTAAAATCATTTACTGAAATACCTAAATGTGGGGTACAAACATGGACTGAAACATCTAAACATGGGGTACAATCACTGACTGAAACATTTAAACATCGTTGCCCAGCTTCAGAGTTGTGTGCATGGGGTGACACTGTGAGCTGCGGATTTCATTTGAATTGTGATAAACATTGTGTGAATTTTTCGTTGGTGAAGAAGCGGAGCAACTATGGGGTGACCCGTTTGATATAAGGCTGAAACAAAGATTACCAGATTCAAACATGGGGTACAATCATAAAATGAAACATCTAGTATCACAGACAATCTGGTATCAGAGACACTGTAGCATCAAAGATATGCTAGTATCACAGACATTCTAGTATAACAGACACTGTAGTTTCACATGCATTCTAGTATCACAGACACTGTAGTATCACAGGCATTCTAGTATCACAGACACTGTAGTATCACAGGCATTCTAGTATCACAGACACTGTAGTATTACAGGCATTCTAGTATCACAGACACTGTAGTATCACAGGCATTCTGGTATCATAGATACTGTAGTATTACAGGCATTCTAGTATCACAGATACTGTAGTATCACTGATATTCTGGCATCACAGACACTCTGGTATAAAATGCATTTTAGTATCACTGATATTCTGGCATCACAGACACTCTGGTATCAGAGACACTTTGGTATCACTGATATTCTGACATCACAGACACTCTGGTATCACTGATCATCTGGTAACACAGACACTCTGGTAGCACAGACCCTGTGGTATCACTTACTGTTAAAGTAAACTTGAGTGTGCGAGCCAGATATCTTCCCTGTGACCTGTTTATGTGCATCAGTCTTGGAATACCATCCTCTTGAACCAGAGCTCTGTGAAACAATATACAAAAAACAAATGATACCTGTGCTCAATATTTACACACCAGTGTCAGTAGGTACTTGATCTGCATAGCTGTTGACAGTTGATGGATTTATTCTTACTGGCAGAGTCAGTCACTGAGAGTTGATGGATTTATTCTTACTGGCAGAGTCAGTCACTGAGAGTTGATGGATTTATTCTTACTGGCAGTCAGTCACTGAGAGTTGATGGATTTATTCTTACTGGCAGTCAGTCACTGAGAGTTGATGGATTTATTACAACTGGTACAGTCAGTCACTGACAGCTGATGGATTTATTACAACTGGTAGTCAGTCAGTCACTGACAGTTGATGGATTTATTACAACTGGTACAGTCAGTCACTGAGAGTTGATGGATTTATTACAACTGTTACAGTCAGTCACTGAGAGTTGATGGATTTATTACAACTGTTACAGTCAGTCACTGAGAGTTGATGGATTTATTACAACTGTTACAGTCAGTCACTGACAGTTGATGGATTTATTCTTACCGGCAGTCAGTCACTGAGAGTTGATGGATTTATTCTTACCGGCAGTCATCACTGAGAGTTGATGGATTTAATCTTACTGGCACAGTCAGTCACTGAGAGTTGATGGATTTATTCTTACTGGCACAGTCAGTCACTGAGAGTTGATGGATTTATTACAACTAGTACAGTCAGTTACTGAGAGTTGATGGATTTATTACAACTGTTACAGTCAGTCACTGAGAGTTGATGGATTTATTACAACTGTTACAGTCAGTCACTGAGAGTTGATGGATTTATTCTTACTGGCACAGTCAGTCACTGAAAGTTGATGGATTTATTACAACTGGTACAGTCAGTTACTGAGAGTTGATGGATTTATTACAACTAGTACAGTGAATCACTGAGAGCTGATGGAATTATTACAACTGGAGTCAATCACTGACAGTTGATGGATTTACTACAAATAGTACAGTCAGTCACTGAGAGTTGATGGATTTATTACAACTGGAGTCAGTCACTGACAGTTTATGGAATTATTACAACTGGTACAGTCAGTCACTGATGGTTGATGGATTTATTACAACTGGTACATTCAGTCACTGACAGTTGATGGATTTATTATTACTGGTACAGTCAGTCACTGACAGTTGATGGATTTATTATCACTGGTACAGTCAGTCACTGACAGTTGATGAATTTATTATTACTGGTACAGTCAGTCACTGAGAGTTGATGGATTTATTATTACTGGTACAGTCAGTCACTGAGAGTTGATGGATTTATTATTACTGGTACAGTCAGTCACTGACAGTTGATGGATTTATTATTACTGGTACAGTCAGTCACTGAGAGTTGATGGATTTATTACAACTAGTACAGTCAGTCACTGACAGTCAGTAGATAGGATATGCACTCACAAGGCAAAGTCCTGGTTATCCTTGACAACCTCGTACAAAGTAGCAACCACAGCACAAATGGTGTCATCAGGAAGGCTGTTACGCTCATCACGGGGAAGGCGGCTCACTAGCTGTCTGATTGCATATTTTCCTGAGGAAAAAAATCAGCATTTTGACTCCACAGTTACATACAGGCCATGAAAACCAGTTACATAATCATAATGAAGCCGACAACTGTAGACACTCAATGAAGTCAACAGTCACATACACACAATGAAGCCAACAACTGTAGACACTCAATGAAGTCAACAGTTGCATATACATAATGAAGCCAATAACTGCAGATACTCAATGAAGTCAACAGTTGCATATACATAATGAAGCCAATAACTGCAGACACTCAATTAAGTCAACAGTCACATATACATAATGAAGCCAACAACTGCAGACACTCAATGAAGTCAACAGTTGCATATACATAATGAAGCCGACATCTGTAGACACTCAATGAAGTCAACAGTTGCATATACATAATGAAGCCAATAACTGCAGACACTCAATGAAGTCAACAGCTGCATATACATAATGAAGCCGACATCTGTAGACACTCAATGAAGTCAACAGTCACATATACATAATGAAGCCAATAACTGCAGACACTCAATGAAGTCAACAGTCACATATACATAATGAAGCCAATAACTGTAGACACTCAATGAAGTCAATAGTTGCAGACACTTAATGAAGTCAACAGTGGCAGACACTAAATGAAGTCAACAGTGGCAGACACTTAATGAAGTCAACAGTCACATATACATAATGAAGTCAACAGTGGCAGACACTAAATGAAGTCAACAGTGGCAGACACTCAATGAAGTCAACAGTGGCAGACACTCAATGAAGTCAACAGTGGCAGACACTCAATGAAGTCAACAGTTACACATACATGATAAAGCCAACAACTGCAGACACTCAATGAAGTCAACAGCTGCATATACATAATGAAGTCAACAGCTGCATATACATAATGAAGCCAACAACTGTAGACACTTAATGAAGTCAACAGTGGCAGACACTAAAAGAAGTCAACAGTTGCAGACACTAAATGAAGTCAACAGTTGCAGACACTAAATGAAATCAAGAGTTGCAGACACTAAATGAAGTCAACAGTTGCAGACACTAAATGAAGTCAACAGTTGCAGACACTAAATTAAGTCAACAGTTACAGACACTAAATGAAGTCAACAGTTACAGACACTAAATGAAATTAACAGCTGCAGAAACTCAGTGAAGTCAACAGTTGCAGACACTAAATGAAGCCAAGAACTGCAGATACTCAGTGAAGTCAACAGTTCCATAATCATGATGCAGACACTAAATGAAGTCAACAGTTGCAGACACTCAATAAAGTCAACAATTACAGACACTAAATGAAGTCAACAGTTGCAGACACTAAATGAAATCAACAGCTGCAGAAACTCAGTGAAGTCAACAGTTACAGACACTAAATGAAGTCAACAGTTACAGACTCTAAATGAAGTCAACAGTTGCAGACACTAAATGAAATCAATAGCTGCAGAAACTCAGTGAAGTCAACAGTTACAGACACTAAATGAAGTCAACAGTTGCAGACACTAAATGAAATCAACAGATGCAGAAACTCAGTGAAGTCAACAGTTACAGACACTAAATGAAGTCAACAGCTGCAGACACTAAATGAAGTCAACAGTTGCAGACACTAAATGAAGTCAACAGTTGCAGACACTAAATGAAGTCAACAGTTGCAGACACTAAATGAAGTCAACAGTTACAGACAGTCAAGGAAGCTAATAGTTGCAGACAGTCAATCCCCGTGTGGGTTCCGGGGCCCCATTGTGGGGAAAACAAGAATAGACCCACTGCCTCCCCAAAAGCATGTCGTAAGAGTCGACTAAATGGGGAGCTTCCTTTGAAGTCGGAGTGCATCTGCCGGAGAGGCAAGGAACCAACATTCTGTATTCAAGAGAATGAGATCTGTAAAACTGATGCACACGCAACACTCAGGTTCTGGAGCAGGACTGCACTTCAGTAATGGACGAGCAACCAGAACTTTCCGCCAGAGTGTACAGCTGGTGAACGTAAAGAAGAAAGAAGAAGAAGCAGACAGTCAAGGAAGCTAACAGTTGCAGACAGTCAAGGAAGCTAGCAGTTGCAGACAGTCAAGAAAGCTAACAAAAACTGAGACAAAGTGAGATATAAAAACAAAGATAAAGATGAAGGGAAAGAGAAGCAAATAGAGATACAGAGGCAGAGAGAGAGAGTGAGAGAGAGGGGGGCAAACAAAAAGATAGAGAAGGAGGGAGAGAAGGAAGCAGAGAAATATATAGAGAGTGTGAGAGAGAAAGGCAAACTCTGAGAAGTAGGGGATAGAGAGAGCAAATGGACAGAGAGGTACAGTTAGGAAGTGAGAGAGAGAGAGAGTCAAATACAAAAAGGGAGTGATGCAAACAGAAAGATACACAGGGAAGGAGAAGAGAGAGAGAGAGCGAGAGAGAGTGAGAAAGAGAGAGAGGCAAACCGACAGAGATACATAGGAACACTGACAGACAGATACAGACACATAATGATACAAAGAGGGAGGAAGACAGTGACAAATGGGAAAGAGGGAGGAGGAGAGGGGGGGGGGGCAGGTAGAGAGATATACAGGCAGTATAACAACACTTAAATCAGTCTGTCCTTCACCTTCCTTAACTGCCAAATGGACCAAATTGTAAAACTATGGGGGAAAAAATAGCAGACCGAAAGAATAAAACTAATATAGAAAAAACATTAAAGAAAAAACCTGCCTGGTTTCTTGCTAAAACAATTCCCTATCAAATTCTTTTCTAAAGCACAGCGCAATTTCTCCTGTATCCATAAATGTCTCTTTTTCCAATATTTGCCAGTAAATAAAGATGTGCACTATGGCAGGGAAGAAATAGCAAGTTACTTTACTACATAGCAAAGGTTTTCTTCTTTGATGTGGTGATATGGACATATAGGTCTTATGATCAATCTTTTCATTTCTGATTTGTTTAATTTTTTTTTTCAAGGTTACTGCTGGCATATTTCAAGGACCTAAGTCCCACTGTGAACTGTTTCAGGTCTTTTGAAGACCTTGAAACAGCAAACTGCCTTTCAAGGTTTTTTTTTTTTTTTAAGAGTTTCAAGGGTCACTAGGTGAGGCCAGACAGAATGACTAGGATAAAAGCAGTGACAAGGACTCAGCTAGCGCTTGACCCAATTCACAAGCAGCCAAAGTGAGCTCTGGAAGGGAACAAAAGCGCTGTTGGAGAAAGATCGGGGCAGAATTTGCAGAGAATTTGTGCGACTTGATGACAGGAACATTGTGTATCTGACAGTTAGGATATAGGGTGTCACTGATAAGTGTAGTGACCATTAGCCGTGTGTTTCCATTAGGTGTCAGCTGTAATTTATACTTTAGGGTGTTACTGATAAGTGTAGTGGACCATTA